ACACCTTCCGCCGACTACAGGAAACTGCGATTGTTAAAATCAGGGCATGTTCCTATTTAACTAAAAGGCTGAGATCAAATAATCCAAAGGCCTCGACTACGCCAAACAAATTCCTGGCCAAGGCATAGCAAGTCTGTGCAGCTGTAAATCTGTAACCCCTCGACCTCAATATCCGTGTAAATGACGTCTCGGCACATCATCTCGGGGAGCGGTTGGTAATAAACAGAAGGAGCAAAGAATCGGGCAGAGGTGGACAGGGGAATGTAAAAGTTAACAATAACGCTTAGCACAACATTCTTCAGTTTACCACCCAAAAGTCCTGAAAGTTCCTTTAAAATGCACAATAGTAGGTTTTTCAAATGCTGACGTGGGACAGCTCTTTTCAAAAACGTGAAATTTGTCAGCGCTACCTCTTCCTCACAAAACGCTCGCAACCTCAGTGAAACGATGTTTTCCAACAAAAATCTATTTCAGCACAGAATTCCCAGCCAGCTCCATTCAAGGAGTATCAGCAGAAACAGTAACACGACAGCCCATCTGCCAGGACTATTTCCCCAAACCCTCTCACCAGTCAGAGGGCGATTAATGTTTAAAATTTTCTTTTAATCTGAATGTTGTACTAGTAAATGGTCCTTAAAAAAAAAATCCTACTTAATTCTTTGCTATAGTAAAACAATTGTCTACACTGACCGCAAATAAAGAAGTAATGTTAGTTGTTACCTACAGGAACTGGTAAGTTTTTAATGTTTGTTTATTTAAAATTGATACAATTTTGCATATGGGAAGGCTGAAAAATAAACGTTAAATAATTTGACCCACATTGTATGTGGAATCAGGGTCAATGCTGATATGGAAATTCGGGAGTTCCTTGCTCCCAGATTTTACTCAAGTTGTGCCTCTTGCTTAATTATCGTCCTTACTGCACAGAAGGCCCCCAGTCAATTAGCGAGACGTAAACGTCATCTGAAACAGAAGCTGCCGGAACAGTGTGGCTTTGAGAGGAAATTGATAGGAAATTATTTCGAGGAGGTACTTTCTTTCATTTTTCAAAGAAAAGCAGAAATAAGACATTGAAGTCTTCCTTCTATTCTCACACGTACATGGATGACAACAACAGAGAATCCGTGGTTTTGCAGTGCTGTCCTAACAAGTCACCAGGACATGCAGACTTCCAGGAAACCGGAGACTTGCAACTCCAAAATAGGAGTATTTGCTAACACAGCTACCAGAGTCCATGAAGGGATATTCTACGTGATGTACCACGCGTCAGGTTTTGTTCCACTGTGACAACAGAAAAGTTACAGTCACAACAAACATTTAGGTTTAGGTTTTTTTCAGAAAGGTTTATTGTTTGCCAGACAAGTTTCGTTAGCGAATGCCAGAGAAATCGCTTCTGCAATATTTTCAGCACTGCCTATTCTTTGCCAGCCCAGTGCATACACACGCTGTTATTCTCACTGGGGTCCCAACCCACAGGAGGAAGAGCAGGCAGACGTATAAATAACAACAAAAAACCCTTCTGAAACAGTTTTAAAGGTGATTCCCTGCGCCTGCTTGGGTCTGCACAACTGACTGCGCACAGAGATTGGGGTGGGGGTTTTTTCGTAGTCCTCTTTGGGGGGGTGGTTCAAGGGAACTGGATGGAATAGCTGGTGTTGAAATCAAAAGACTGCAAAGCCAGAGGTGTGGGTTCGTTCCCAACAACTGTTGGGGATGTGCTGGCATTGGGTAGTCACATTTGCATAAAACGCTTGCATTCTTCATGCAAGCCTAGCCCACGCAATAAAGCAGGCACTGAAATGGAAACCTGCAGGTGAAAACCTAGCCCTCCCTTTGAAAAGCTGGAGTCCTGGAATTTGCCCTGTGAAGTCTAAGAAAATCCCAGCTGGAACTGCCGAGATCCTTTCCAAAGACGTGGCACCACATTAACATACAAGCTGCTTCAAAGCAGAGCTTATGCCCTGCGTTGAAGCCGGGTTCAAGGTATTTAGCATCCTCAACCGACAGCTCTGCTCACTCTGCTTGCTGTCTTGCAGCGTTCCTGGTCAGCACAATGACAAAAAAGCTGCCCGGAGGTTGGCGTGGCGGCTCCCCCGGACCCCCGGCCGCTCTGCCTGCGGTGGGAGCGGGAGCAGTGGCAGCCAGGCTCCCCGAGCTGCAGGTTTTGCTCAGTTCCAAATCTAAGGAGCCAACAGCGCTGAGACAAAAGTAATTATTTCAGCTATTAGCTGCTAAGAATAGAGCCGGCGGGGGTGCTGTGCATGGCTGAGGTGCACTGACAGCACAGTCGGAGGTAGCAGGGATTGCAGTGGAAGCACAGAAATAGCCATTCGCTACGCTCAGCACTTTGAAGCTTCATGAGTCACCAAAATACACGGCGGGGGGGGGGGGGAGACAGGGGGGGGGGTGGGGGGGGGGGGGGGGGGGCACTGACAGGTGGGGTGTAGAGGAAAATGCACCCTGCCCCTATGTGTAAAGCAGAACATGCCCCTGGGCTGATTGCTGTATTTTCTGGGAGAGAACAGCGTTTTGCTGAGGAGCCTGTTTTTTTCCTAAGGAGAGCATCTTCCCAGTCACGAGGCAGTGGACCACCCTCACGCTTCCCACCCATCGGAGAGCACGGCTGTAGCAAGGAAAACTTCAAGTAGACCTGATGCCCGTACGCTGCTTAAAGGTACTGTTCCCCTGCCCGGGGAGGGACACGGCCCTCGGGGAGGCACCGCGGCCGCTCCTTCCTCCCACCGCCCCGGTGCCTGGCCCCCCCGGCCAGTCTCACCTGGGGCATGAATAGTTGCAAAAGCCAAACATTACCCGGGGGTGGGGGGCAGCGGGATGGAGGAATCTATCGATCTCGAGCCAACTGTGTTTCACGGTGTTTCCCTAACTGCTAATCTTACTTGAAGTTCCCTTTACAAATACATTATAAAAGGTTAAACATATGAACAGCAGGTATTTAAATACAGGATCAGTGAACGATCAGGTGCTCAGCTGGCTGTTCATCGACATCTTTAACATCTTGTCCTGATGTTATTTAGCATAAATCGTACTGGTATCACTACATGTTTTTACTCAGTATAGCTTGGAAGAGGCGCTTTTCCTTCCGTGCTGGTTGTGCAGCCCAGGGTACAACACATTCCTGATCTATGACTATGTTTCCAAACTACATAGTAAAATGAATAATAATGATAGTAAAAGTTGTACAACTGTTTTTTACGCAGCAACCTTTGTAGTGCTGGATTTTCCAGCTATTGTACATGGGGAAAAAAAGTTATTTTGTTAAAACCACCGTGCCCGGCCAAAACAAAACCAAAAAACAACAAACTCAGGGTTTAAAAGAAAATTTTCATATCAATCCTGGGTGCAACTGCAGAAAGAGTCAAGCTAGCTAAAATTAAACATCTCAGCTAGAGCATGGACAGGGCACCAGCCAGCTTGCTAAAAATAGATTAATCCTAATTACAGCCACACTTCTGCTTTTTCAAGGTTTCCCGTTTCACGTGGGGACGCAGAGGCTGTGAATGGAGAGGGGGATTGGTGCCCACTGCGGCGGGAGAGGGGACGGGGGGCGCGTGCCGCCCACTATTGCGTAACCCCGGGAACACGCCGTCCTCCGGCGGGAGCGACGGGAGCGACGGGAGTGACGGGAGCGACGGGAGTGACGGCAGCGTCCCGCCTCGCCAGGCTTTGGCTGCCCGGCTCCAGCTGATCGGCGCAGGCTTAACTCGGCGACCAGCCCTGGAAATCTGCTCTCCCCAGTGAGCAAAACCAGACTACACCACGGAAAACGGGGTTTCAGGTAATGTGTGCTTTGCTGGTTAAAGATTTAAACATCGCCACCTTCCTACCGGCTCCCTCAACCGCTGGCAGCCCTGGGGGAGCTCGGCCCTGTGCCAGAGCTGCCCAGCGTGGTTAAAACCCCCCGGGGCGGTGCCGTGCGCCAGTATGTCCCGTAGGAACTGCCATAAATCCCTATTGGTTTTATTTCCTCCTGGACGACATTCACACAGAGAGCTGACTTACGATCTTGTAAGCAGAATTACAAAATGTTTAGTATGAAATAAACATATTTAAGCCTCTGCTTTCAAATTACAGTAGTTTATTTCTCCCGTAAAGCCTATAAACTACGGAAAACAACTATTTTCCCACCCTAAAGGATGTATATTAATTACCAGTTTAAATATTTAGCCAGAAAATTTATCGCTTCAGCTATAATAACTTAGTTTTGTTTTATCAGAAACCAGGAGTTAATGCTATGTTTTTTCCTTTCGTTTCTGTAGCAGCAATCACTAGGTAAGCACAAGGGCCCCTCTGCTTGAGATGGATCTCGGGCTGCACACATTGCTGCTGCTGCTGCTGCTGCTGCAAAAAACAGCCAGCGACTGAAAGACCTTCTAGCCGGTAAAACAAAGGAAAAATTCATCAAACACTCCTTCAGTATCTTGGATTTACGTAACTGAGGAACAACTCTCCCGCAAATACAGGGGGAACAGCACGAATTTCATTTAAGGTGATCGACTGAGCCTGTTTGGATGTTTTAGAAAAAAATAAAACAAGTCCCGATGAACGTTAGAACACAGCCATCACAAAGGGCAGGATCTGAAACGCCGACAGCATCGCCTCCAGGGCTGTCAGCCTGGCAGGTTGCACTGCGTGGTGGTACGGTTTTGGACTCTCTGGGTGGCACGGTGCTGGTCAGCTGCCTCCCCCCGGGAACACGGACGCTTACAGCCTGGCTGAGCGGCGCTCGGAGGACAGGGGAGTTGGGAAGAGGGTATCTCTCTGGAAAATACCTTGTTAGCTTTGAGCAGGACTGCCACTTCAGTAAATAGTATTTTTACTTATAGCTCATCAGAAAAGATTTCATTTTACGTTTTTGAGATTCATTTGCCCTCTGCACTGAAAGGCAGATCCAGGATTTGGGGCTTGCTTTTTGTATTTTTAATTAAAGGAGAAAGACACGCTGCAGAACAGCTGGTACCTTTGGGCTGACAGGCACTCACCTGGGCTGACAGAAATTCGCCTGCACATCCCTGCTTTGATCTCCACAGAAGGCAGTCCTGTGGCTCAAGCCTCCCATATCCCAGCTGAGTTTGTAGCAGAGATTTTGGCTGTCCTGCTGTCCTGGTTGTCAGTCTTGCTGTCACCTCCCAACTCCCCGGAGTTACACCCTGGGTACAAGAAAATCTCCCATTAGAAGTTTCACCAACCTTAATATGACAAAGCAATATTTTCCAATTGGGAAATGAATAAACAGGGAAAAATTTGTTTATAGACATTCCTAAGCAGCTTTCTTAGCATTACTGTGCCACCAGCAGACCGCATCCGAGAGCAGACCTCCTCCTTTTCCCCACTGCTTTACGGGATGCACCTACAGAAAGGTAGCGATGCTGCGTGTGTGCAGAGAGGCTTGGCCGTGACTTAGAAACACCTATGGATACGAGGGCACATCTCACTGGATGCATGTGTCTGCCAGCCCCTGCCTGGAGTGACTGCTTTTATAAGCATAGCGAGAGATTGGGAAATCTGCTGTGATTCATACGAATCGCTTCAGTCCCCACTCCCGCCCCCTGCACAGCACCCACGAGTGCCCGGGAGCTGCCAGACGCACGCAGAGCGAGCACCACGCCTGCCTGCAGCTCGTATCCCAGAGTATTTAAAACTTGATACCACAAATTATTTGCCCTTTTGTGAAGGATTCCCGAAATGCTTTTTATTTTTACTACTGAAAATTATCATATTCAGAGTGGTTTCATCAGCTCAGCTGAATAAACCGACACCGTCAGTAACCGTGGCGTTTCGCTGTTCCTGCTGGGTTTGGTGCTGGCAGGTACTGGCTGAGGGTTATCTCTGCCTCTTGTCTCAGCCTTGAAACTGGGATTGTAAATTATTTTGGCCAGGGATAAACTGTCTTTGCTTGTACAGCACTGAGCCGCACTGGCCTCTGGGTCTCAGCTGAGGCTTCTAGATGCTTCTAAAAATAAGTAATTACAAGCTACTATCTTTTAAAAATACTTGTATAAAGGAGGGAGCGCGAGGAGTCTCCTTCCGCAGCTGTTTTCTCCTCAAACTGCCAAGAATTTTTTTTTTAAACCTTCTGAACTGTGTCTTTTTGGTCAGTTCTATTCTGTAGCCTTTCATAAAACAAGGGTATGCAACAGTTTAAAAGTTAGGATGGGTATTTTGTACTTACATAGCAATAATAATTTGAAAACCACTAGTAAGTTCTAAAATCTAAGCGATTAATGAAATAAAAATGAATCTCAAAAATATTTTTATGCATGAGTTGATTACTCTTCCCAGCATGGAATTATTTTGCAAACAAATCTAAATTAGAGGTTGAGCTTTTCTTTTTCTTTTCCCCTAAGAAAAAACAGATATTGTCATTTTTTGAGATATTTTGGTTTTTTCTTACTTGGCCAATTCTGATTAGTCACATTAGTCCCACTGTAGATTTTTTTTTCTCTTTCCAGAATGGGAGACCTTTGTTTTGAGTGATTCCTTTGTATAATTTGTAAAGTAGAAAACAAAACACTAAACATTACAAAACAAAACAGATGAAAATACTTTCAGCTTTGCTCATGTTCCTGCCAACTATTTTCCTTTTTTTAAAAAAAAAACCCACACAAAATAGCTCCTTCTCAGCCCGTACAGGACCGTATCGTTTTACTGCTTTAAAGGGGAAAGGAGAGCTGAGGATTAGCTCTCAGTCTGCTGGAAGGGCCTAAGAAATGGCAAGGACTGGTTTTAAGCCTCTAATCCAGCTTCTAATACTATTCCTCCCCCCAGAAAACAAGGCAGTAAGAATATATTGTGATGAAGGTACAAACTTTTAAGACTTCTTTAAATACCTATTTTGAACAGCACACCAAAGCCATATTATTAAGAGATTGATAGCGTGAACACAATTTATTTGCCCATTGACTGTGCTGGACATGAGCCTCCGCTCTTTAGATCCGTTCCCACAATGTCACTTTTCATTCCTTAGGGCTGGACCATCAAAATGACGGCTGCAATACTTCAAAAGCCAAGAGTGGTATTTCCAGCAGGCCCTTTACCTCCTCTTCACTGATGCCTGTGCACGTGCAGTTTCTCTCTTTGGGAGACGGTAATAGCTTGTGCACGGTAACAGGCAGAAATCAGCCTGGCAGAACCGACCTCCAGCCGTGCAGTGCTGCAGGTTACTGTGAAAGAGAAATAGCAGCATCCCAAAGCGATTTCATGGAGCTTCCAAAACCACCTGTGAGTAACAGCTCTGCTTGGGGTAGAAACTTTTTTTTTTTTTCTTTTATTTTCACTCCAGGCTTCATTTGTTCCTTTGTTTGCCTGGGAGGTTTTCACCAAGTCCCGAAGACGGTCATGTTCTGGGGACACTCGGAACTGTTGCATGGCTGGCTGGTCCATCAGAGCCTGTATCAGCTCCAGCCCTCCGGTCCAGCTGAAGATATCTACTTTGCCTCCAAGATGAAACGACAGTCTAGAGGTGAGGTGCGTGCCTGACTCTTGAGAATTCCTCTTAAATATTCAGAGCGTGAAAGCTCAGAAAAATCAGAGCTTATGTAAGGCCTTAAAATTTGGGGCGCACCAATAAGTAATAAATAACAGGTCACAGGGCTGAGACGGGCTCCTTCTGCCAGAGTCTTGCAGGAGGCTGCCTTACCCCAACCCCAGTTCCATCCCTGAGGCTGTTGCACACAATGATTTCTCTTTGGCAAGTTTCGGGAAGTTTAACCTACAAACTCGGGGCTGGGTGGGGACTCGGGGAGTTGTGGTGGCCGCCGCTCCAGCTTTCACTGTCTCAGGTGTGCGCAAAATGACGTGGGATGTTGTGCTTCATGCAACGCTGGCCCGAGTTAACCCGTAGCCCTATTTTCCATCTGTAACCATGGCAACCTGAGTTATCTTGCAGAGGTACCTGTCACCCCGTGGTAGTAACACCCTGCTTGTCACAGCCGAACCTACAGTCCCACCGCTGGGATTGTCCATGTGCACATCCCAGTTGCCTGAAACTGCAAAGAACCCCCCCCCAAAAGCGAGGTGGTGTTTGCAGGATCACCGTTTCCAATGCAGTTCTGGCGGAGGCCGAGTGGGAGGTGGGGAGAAGGCAGAGGAAGAGCAGGAATGCCGGAGCAGTTCAGGCACAATCCCAGCTCTTGGCAATACAATCAGCTCCTTGGCAACGGGAGGAAGGTGTGTCAGGGTGGATGGGACACAAACACGCCGGCTCCAGCAACAGCTCCAGGAGAGAGGAGCATCACCACTAACGCGGCTCATCTAATTTTGCCATGGAGCACTTGAAAGGAGAATGAAGTAACAGCTGGAAAGAGCCGGAGGCCCGAGTGCGTTACACAGCAGCATGAGGGCCTTTGCTGTCCATTTTTATAAAATATTTTTCATACAACAGCATTGAGTTTAATTGTATTCAAGAGAAAGTTGCCTATACTGACCCTCTGCCTACACAGCAATTTCTCACATGGAGAAGGAAGATGGCTGGTACCATGAATGGAGAGAACAAATTTGAGGGTTGGACTAGATGATCTTTAAAGGTCCCTTCCAACCCAAACCATTCTGTGATTCTATGATTCGAAATGCCTCGGCCATTTAGACTATCTTGCAGGACTTCACGGTTGCCACTCTTCAGGAGGTACTGTCCATCTACTTGATCAGAGCAACTGTTATCCCTCAAAAGAGGAACAGGCCTTCAAATTTTCTGAGACCTAAATCATTAGAAAGGTTTTATAAGACTTTGCTGTCTTTTTTACAAGACACTGCTGCACTTGTACACTAAATTACCAGTACTGAGAAGCTAAAGAGTTAAATCAGAATCAGAGAGATCCAACAGATTCTCATAAAGTCTTTAAAATCAAGATAAGGGGAAGAGAGGAATCTATCTTAAATAATGAAAAAGACATAGATTCTAAAATTATTATTGAGTGGATTCTTAGTAGTAATATTAGAAGAAAAGTCATTTCTAAGCAGTCAGTGACTGCTGAGCTGGCAGTCCTACGCTGTAACTATGATAGTCCTGGTTGCACGGAGGCACCAAGACTTTAATTCCAATTAGTTTTACATTGAGTGTGTCACCCCTCACACGAAGGAGGACAGAAAACACATCTCTATTATTTTGTAAACATACAAACATGGTTTCCACACTCATTTCAGTATTGCACAATAGTACTAAAGAGGTCAGTTTCATCTCTGAGGAAAAGAATTGCATAGAAAAGTAAAGGCTGGTGCAAATGAGCTATCAGGAATTACCCACACGTGAACAGAGTTGCCCAGGAGATGCGGTGGGTACCCAGTGACAGGCTGCGAACCATCAGGGACCAGCAGCCAAAGCAGTGCATGGAGAACAGTGTGCGTGAGGAACAAAAAAGCGAGATGTCGGCGGATGGTGGTAATTCCGCTTCCCCGTGCAACGACACGAAGAATTGCTGCATGGTTTGGGGTGGGAAGGGAAGCTGTGATTCCAACAGCAGCACATGCATTAACCTTGCTGCTCTGTGTTGATCAGTTTTCCTACAGTCCCCATCCGAATATAATCCAGTAATAGAGCTTTTCTCCTTTTGAAAATGCTGTCTGGTGTTTCTGCCCACATTTGTAGGATGTTTAGTTTTCGAAGAGGTACATCTATGGCAGGGTAAAAGGTCCAGGATATTCATTAGAATTCAGGAGTCTGTGAAATGGGAGCTGGTGCAAGAAAGTGTCTTCTGGCATTTGGGGTACCCCGTTTCAATCATTGATAGGGTGAGAAGAGAGGTGCTCAAGGGGAATATAGGGAAGCAGACTGGATATGACAGGTGAAAATAAGGCCATCAGATGTGCACATCAATGAGCCAAGAATGACTGAGACCTAAATCCCAGTCTTCCCTCTGACACATGCTCTTTCATCAGGGCTACCTCCTGGGAGCTCCAGCGTCCCAGAGGGTTTGCTTTTCAGCCTCTCTCGTTAGCATTTCCCTCTGTGAGATGTAACAGATGCTTTCTGCAACGTCGTTCTGGAGATCTGCAGCTCTTTGCTGGAGATGGAGCATTTCTTCACCTCTCAACTGCAGGTAAAGGTGAAACATGTACGAGGTCACCGGCAGGAGAGTCCACGATGCCCCAGCTTGTGCGGGTAAGCATTTGGTTCTGCACAGCCTCGACACCGAACCCGCCACCCCCGGGGATGAAATCTGGGTTATATAAAGCCATTCCTGCCTCGAAACGGTGAGGTTAAAATGAGGTTGTCCAAGATGAGAGCTGCCTCAGGAGAACGATTCGCTGCCTGCACCAAACTCTGAGTACAGGTGAAAACTGAAACGCTCAGTGCTCAAATATACATAAACACACCGGCCAGGATGCTGGGAGCTTCGTGAGCACTCAGTGTGTTTGCAAATGTTCTGGAAAATGAGTATGCAGTGAGCTGGCAATGTTTGGAGAGGATACAAAATCAGTGAGGTGCATCCATGGTAAAACAGTGAGGAGTAAAGGACGGATCTCATGATGTGCAGTGCTGGGGAAAAAATTAACTGATTAAATTCAGAATTTGTAGGTTCAGAGTGATAGGTTAAAAAAACCCCACCAAACCATAACTGAACATATTCAAGTGATGGATGTGGTGTTACTCAGAAGTTCACGGAGAGCTAGCTGCAGGATGTGGGAAGGAGTGCAGCTACCTGCCATGCCTGTATGCTCCTTCCCTGGGTGCTCCCTACCAGGCACCGTGAAAGGCAGGCTCCTGGCGTGATGGATTTGCACAGTCCCAGCAGGGCAGGGCTAATTCTTATACTCGCATCATTCCATTTAAGTGACAAACTGTACCAAGCAGGCAGCGTGACGGTCCACAATCACAGAGCACTGTGAGGCTGTAGGATGCCAGATAAACACACCAGAGAGAAGTTTTATGCTGTATCTAACCACAGTTCCTACTCATTTCACAGCCCAGTATAGCCAGCACTGAAAACTGCACAATTAAAGCATTTTTAAAGGGTGCAAAGCCTACATTATTCCTTCTATCAGTGCTGTATGAAAACGGCCAGCTGACTGGTATGCTGTGGAAGGGCCACCACATGAAAGTGGACCCAGGTAAGAAAGTATAGGACTGTAACAGAAATGCTAAATCATACTTTAAAGGCAGGTGTTTCTTTTCCAGAATACTAATGTAATTCTTACAGCACAAAGAACAAAAGCTTCCTTCTGTAAATCCATTTCACAGAGACCACGAGATGGGGAAATCTATCACGCTTAGGTAACTGACGTCGGAAGGAGCTACTCTCAGTGGCCCAGCGTTAATGTATCGGTGAGCTTCGATGCTGGAGATTTAGTAATTCAGTAACTGGAGAGAATGGCAGTGATGGAGACCACCAAAACCAACACGCAGATGCCTCACAGCTTTGGACCATCGCAAAGAAAGAGACAGAAGGCATGTTATCAAGACCACACAAGTTTGTTTGAGATGGACCTACTGCCTTCTAATAGCATGGGGAAAAAAAAAACCACCCGACTTTCCATCTCCATGGTAACTCCTTCCTCCAAAGCACTTTTAATGCAATTTGTTTCCTGTTCCTCTAACTTCTTTGATGGCTTTAGAACAGAGCAGTCGAGGCTGAAGTGCTGGTAACACACCTACAGCAGGACAGTAGATGAGAAACCATGTCTTTGTCTTTGACAGCAAGTGACGAGTTGAGCTTCTGTCCCCTCCAAGGAGATACCTGTGTTACCATCACTAAACTGGCTATGTGCAGAATGATTCCTGACTGCAGAAAAAAGCCAAAGGCAAATTCTCTGCAGAAGACAGCAGGAGAGGATCAACACCGCTCCAGCCTCTCTCCTTGCAGGAGTTGGTATACGAGTTATACAAGTCACTTCTAGTAGAGGTCCCATCTCAGGATGGATCCCTATGTCTGTATTCCAAAGGGCCTTGGTTTGTGATGGTAGTATTACTGTAGATAACTACCCGTGCTGGCCTTTGCTGCTCTTAGCATCCACACACCCTTTCGTGTTACTGCTCTTTCCTGTTCATCTTAGAGGCCAGCCAGGGTGAGAACCCAGAAGGGCCAGCCAGGGCGATGCCATCTTATAAAACCCTGCTCCAGTCTGACAGAGTGATACTATGAAAGGGAATTAGCCTGAGTACAAATATTCACTCAAATGGACCATGAACACAGCCGCAGGACACTTTGTCAGCAACCGATAATGTAGGTAAGAAGCATTTTGTCAAATGGGCAGGACATGTCTGAGCGAAAGAAACTTTAGCCTCTTAAATATTGAAGTTCCAAAATTAAACCCTTGTTTATATAACGACTGGGTCACTGCTGCAGAACATGGGAGTTTGCAGCATTGTACCAAAAAAGGCCCTACGAAACACAGACCTTCATATAGGGCACTGAGTCTCCCGCAGAAGCAGACTCTGCAGCGTGCTGCTGCTTGCCATGGGGGCTTTCTGCTCGGCTCTGTCTCTCCCAGGCCTCCCCCCCCATTCATGTCCCCACCTGATCCACCTGCTCAGCCGGCACCGCACCATCTTGTGCAAGAATCGGGTGAGCTCCCATCCGCCGGCCGGGCTCTGCGCAGGCGGGGGGGCAGCACCGGGGAGCCCCATGCAGCGAAGATGCTCGCGGGTCGCTGGTGCCATTCGCCTCTGCAGGGAGGGGGATCCTGGTACCTGAAAGCAAAGGGCTGCTTTGAGACTTAACCCTGAAACTCAGATCCTCATCCTTGCTGCTGGGCGGATGGGGTGGAAAAGCAGGGGTGTTGCTGCTGGCTCCTAGCTAAGCGTGTTAAAAGTCCATCCTTGGCGTGTTTTCCAAAACTGTCCTTCCTTTGCACTGTCCTCTTACACTAAACACAGTCAATTTGCAGGCCACGAGTTGGATTTTGTGGATTTAAACAATGATGCGAACTGTATTTTTTTCTTTTCAGAACAAGGAATGAAACTGGTAGTGAAGACAAGAAGTCTGCAGTCACTCCAGAAAACAGTCGCATATCCCTGCTGCTTTAGGTTGGCTAGTCACAAATACCACCACAGCAAACTACAAGTAAGAAAATTTACTCACAAAATATAGAAAATAACTTTATGGAGCTTCCCTGCTGCAGAGTATCTTTAAAAAGCCGCCTACAAAGCCTTTTACCACATTACCTTTTACCACACACCTTTATTTATTATTTTTTAAGAAAAGAGCATAAAAGAACTTAATCCAAACTAAATATTTAACCAAACAGCAATTAACTAACAATGATGAATGGTAAACAGTCCTAGTCCCACGCTAAACTGGAACTTTAAAGCCCGTTTATCTAAGCTAAAGCTGCTCAAGGGGAAAGGCAAGTTTATTGAGTAAACTTTGTCTCAGCCACCTCGCTATTAAAACAGTCTACAAACAGAAACTACATCATATATTCTGCGAGAGGGAAAAAAAGGGAGCAAGAACATAACAATCCATCGCATGGAAGTTACAGTGATATATGGAGCACTTATCCCTAAATATAAAAGCAGAGACAACATGAAGCTGTAAAGCTGCCGCTTCCAACTCCCGTGGCCTTGTGTTAAAATAGAAATAAGTGAGGGACCCCTGAAATGCCACCCGTTGTTCCCATTTGGCCTAGCACAGTCATTCCCACGTACCCACTAGGAAGGAGCGAGCCTGGGCAGAGCTGCCCAAGGTTTTATTCACATGGACCCCTTTGTTGAAGTGTAACGGAATTAGCTGCTGCTGCTTCTCATTATTATTATTATTATTATTATTATTATTATTATT